CACAAAGGTGGGAATGGCACCTAAGTGTTTCTTCTCAAGGGACGCCGACGGGTACCTGTTGGCAACTCTCCCTGGACAGGAGTGAAGGACCACCGGCTTCCAATTCAATCAGTGACTCCACACGGCCCCTGGATAGAAGGAAGGGAACGTTTTCCGATAATTGTGACCTTTTATTACTTCACAGAATGCGTTTCTTACTCTTGTGCACAGTGTAGGAGTTTTATAGAGAAAGTGGTTGACTCCATCCAGTCCCCAAACAAATATAAACAAGAAACCGTAACTCGTTTTCCCAGCCGTGACCGGAATTCCTGCCCAACACACTGTAGGGAGGCCAGGATGGAGGCCCGTCCTCAGAACCGTGGCTGATTTCTTCTCAAGTGTGAGGGGACTAAATGCCACGGCAGGTCAGGCAGCTGCAGGACGGACTGAAAAAGACTTACATCCTGTCCTGGGTCTACACACAGGGTTCTGGAAACTTCTCTGGGGCCCAGGACTAGGGCTTTCTTTAGGGCCTCATGGCCCTGCCTCCTCCCTGGTCTCTCACAGGATGTTTTCTTCCTGCAGGTGGGAAAGGAGAGAGGTATGCTCAGGCTGCCAGTGAGTATGGAGGGGGGACCCCTGAGACCCTGTGAGAGTACAGATGAGAGCCATTGGGGGGAACCCACTCCCCATGTTGTCTCCTTGAATCTTTCTCCTCTTATCTCTCCTCTCTTCCCCCCAGAACTGTGGACCTGATACCAAGTCAGTCCCTGCTGTTGCTCTCCATCAGGAGCTGATGTTTCCATTGAATATGGCTGCAGACCAGGCATTTTCCAATGGTCATGGGCTCCCCCAGGGCAACCTGGGCTGGGAGCTGCCACCCACCAGACCGCTCCAGGGAAACCTCACTGAAGGACAGCACTGGGGCTCTGAGAGGGCGCACGTGCTCTTCAGAGCCTTCCAACACCCAGAGGACGCGGACCCCCTCCAGAGCGTGCACACAATATCTGTGCTCCTCCATGGCTGGCTGAGGCCGGATGTGCTCACCAAGAAGCAGATCTTGGATAAGCTTCGGCTGGAGAAGTTCATGACCTGCATGCCCCTGGAGCTGCAGGCCTTGGTGAAGGAGAGGTGCGTGCAGAGCTGCGAGGAACTGAAGGTCTTGCTGAGAAATAAGGAGAAACCCAGGAAATGGTTGAGTGGAACCCTCATGATGGGGAAGGGGAAGGGAGGCTTGTAAATGTACACAGAGGCATTCTTTAATTTTCTGTGTTTTATTTTTAAAATATATTTATGTTGATTTCAGAGAGGGCGGGAGGGGGGAAAACATCAATGATGAGAGAGAATCATTGATTGGCCCCTCCTGCATGCCCCTGCATTGAGGATCAAGCCCACAACCCAGTGGTGTGTCCTGGCCAGTAATCAAATCCTGACATCCTGGTCCAAAAGTTGATGCTCAACCACTGAGCCATGGCGGCTAGTCCACATTAGCATTCCTTAGATGGACATCTTGGAAAATTTGATCTCTCGTCCTGGGGCCCACTTTCCCAATGACCTCAGGGGGTAGACGTGTCCGTTCTAACTCACGGGTGGGGATACTGAGGCACAGACCAGGTCCAGGAATGGCTCCTTTCCTTGCAGGGAGCCTCTGCCAATGTTGGGAGACATGTTTGGTTGCCACTATTTGGGAGGTTGCTATTTGATTGATTGATTAAAACAATTCCTTTTTTAGAGAGAGAATGAGCAACGGAGAGAGAGGGGAAACATCCATGTGTTGTTCCACTGAAAGTCTGAGTGTTGAGTAGGACACACGCAAGGAGTATGATATATCCTGGGTCTTATCTTGTTTAATTTTCTCCCCACAGAAGGTCATCACCTTGCAAGAGCAGAAGTATCTTCTGGAGAATTCCTATGTCCAGATGGCCGATGAAGAAGTTGGTGACACAGACTACGTGTTGGACTTGTCCATGAAGTCCCCATCCCCCGTAAGTCAGACGGGGGTACATCCTGAGAACAGCCAGGAAGTCAATGGAGAATCAGGGAACCAGCCTGGAACCAGTGACATGGTGTGGGGACAGTGAGTGTGTGATGCCCTGATCTGAGGGGACAGGTGGGAGCTGGTACAAGAGGACTCAGTGACCGTAGCTGCTACAGCATTTGGGACATTTGACACAGGATAGAAAGGGACCCAAGAATGCATCCAGCGGATGCATTACGCCCATGGGCATTTCTGAATCAATGTGGTCCACAGGCCAATAAAAATCTAATTTTCCTCTAGGCATTATCAAGAGTGGGGAGTGGGGTCCATCAATGTGGTCCACAGGCCAATAAAAATCTAATTTTCCTCTAGGCATTATCAAGAGTGGGGAGAGTGGGGTCCAGAATCGCTTTGCCTCCACCGTTGGAGGCAGCGAGCAGTTGAGATGACCAGGAGAGGCAGCTTAGAGAATGAAGACGAAGCTCTGTTGCCTTGGCCTGTGTTGATTGGCTGTTGGAGCATCAGACCCAGGAATGTGTTGATTAGCTGTTGGAGCATCAGACCCAGGACTGCAGGGCTGTGGGTTTCATTCCCAGTCAAGGGCACATTCTTGAGTTGCAGGTTCCATTCCCTGGCCAGATGGGGTGATTGCAGGAGTCAACCAGTCAATGTGTCTCTCATATTTATGTCTCTGTCTGTCTCTCCTTTTCTCTCTCTCTCTCTCTCTCTCTCTCTCTCTCTCTCTCTCTTTCTCTTGCTCTACTTTCTCTATACCACCCTTCCTTGCTATCTCAAAATCAATGGAAAAATATCCTGGGGTGAGAATTAACATCAACAACAAAAAGAGTAAGGAGTGTAATGTATGGGCTTGACTTAAGGTGTGGTGAGTACACATAAGGACAGACTTGGGAGTTGGGGGTGATGGGATTGGCCCCAAGGAAGTCTAGGCAGAGCCACTAAACTGTGCTGTTAGGTAAGCTGGGGTCTCAGGTCAGGGAGATGGACAGGATGGGGGAAGGAGGGACGGAGCTTCTCACCCCTGGCTTCAGACACATTTAACCCCCCTTGCTTACCCACTGTCAGGGGCAGAAAGTCTTCCTTCCGGAGGCAATTCCCACAAAAATTGATCTGGAGGGTGTGAGGCCCATGGAGAATTTGGTGAAGTTGGAGAAGGATGTGATGGAAGACAGAGAAGAGGCAGCAGTACTCACATCTCCAGAGCCTCCACTTCCCAGCAGTCCTGGTGAGTATGGAAACTGGGCTTGTAGAGCAATGATTATTGTGTCATAAATCAGTGAGCTAGATACAAGACGCCTTAATGAGATAATTGGTTAGGAGTCTTTATTACATGCAGGCTCAGAGCAGAATATCTCTGTCAAATTCGGAGAAAACAAAGGAAAGAGTATTCCTCTTTGATATCCTTCTAGGTCTTTGTGTAAGTGATTTTTGCAGACACCTTGTTACCTTGAGTACATATAGTATCTAACAAACACCTCGCATGGGAATATTATCAGTATCAGCTTCTCAGCCCCTTAGGTTCCATCGCTAGTTTGCCAGGTCAGACAGTTAAGTTTATCTTTTCTATTTTTTAAGCTAAAAAACAAAGTTAATTTACAGAATAACAGACCTTCTGAAAATGACAGAGATGACTTACAGAACAAGGGACTCTCTGAAATAGCAAAGCATTTCAAACAGCAGTTTCACAAAATAGAGATTACTATGCTTCATTATTGATGCCCCCTCTGCTGGGTACCCAGCTGGGCATCCAGCGTGGTCATCTGTTGGGGACAGTTTGCTCTCAATGCCAAGCCGTCTCTATCACAGACTCTCGGGTGCCCTAAGGTCTAAATTCTCAGGTTTGTTTGTTGATGGGACTGTTTACAACCTACATCGGCTTTGGTTCAAAGGCGTTTGGTAGTGTTAAAAGTGCTCTTTTAATAAAATATATAAACTTATACTTATTTTTAGAGAGAGAGGAGGGGAGATGGAGAGAGATAGAAACATGGATGATAGGAAAAATCATCGATTGGCTGCCTTCTGCCTGGCATCCACCGGTGGGTCGAGCCCCACAACACGGGCACGTGCCCTGTCAGGGAGTGGAGGTGGCGACCTCTTGGTTCCTGGGTGGATGCTCAATCCATGAGCTGAGCTGAAAGTGCTCTTTGATTAATGTTGTGTGTTGAATGCTTTCTTTCAGGAGACTCGGTGAAGACAGAGGGGGAGCAGAACCCGCAGGAAGGAATTGGTCTGGAGCATGTGGATGTCGGTGACGTGCCTCCCACCCACGTTCCGGAGACACAGGCTTTGAGTCAGCATCCAAAGAGAAGAGGTTCTGGGAATCCAGGACGTGCCCCAAAGAGAAAAAGGGGCAACACTCCCACCCCTCAAGAAGGAGCCATGTCATTGGCCAGAGGAGAAGACACCAGACGGCACAGGTGCCATTCAGTGGGTGCGTCAAGCACCATGGAGCCAACTGGTCACCCTGTTGGCAAGGAATCCAGGAGGAAGATACCCTACGATTGTGAAGACTGCAGCAAGAGGTTCAGCTACAGATCACAGTTAGAACTTCACCTGAGGACACACACAGGAGAAAGACCCTTCCAGTG